ATACCTTTAAAGATTTTATTTGTAGCACTTGAAACTTCTGTGATCCACTGTTGGTGTTGGCTATTTTTTATTCAGCCATGTTTACGCTTTTACGTCTTTTTAAATCAACAGTACAGTTGTACAGTTACAATATGTTGAGAAGTTGCAATAAATATTAATGCAATATGTTCTATATCCCTTTGTGTTGTGTCTTTCCTTTGTCTGTTAAGATAACTGAGACTTTTGTGAGTCTTGAGGCATCTCCAGCCTTTAAATCTCATTTGTAAATGCTTTATAAGGTATAGATAGTGCTCACTTTAGATGAGCTCACACAAAATAGTTAATTAACGAGTAGTAAGTGCTTCGTAACTACCTGAATTAATGAATTCCTGTTTTAATAACTGTTTATAGGACCTTTATTGGAAAAGAAATTTGTGAGTTTTTAATAAAACATCTACTAACACATTCACTAACCATCAGCACATGTCTGAACTGTGTATGTGTAAGTGCATGCATAAATGTACATCTAAATAGTTTATTAATCATTTTACAAACACTTTCTAAATGACCTTACAAAATATTGACAATTCCTAAATAACTGGTTTGTAAGTGCTGTAATACTTAATTTAGAAATGCTGAATCCATCATTTAGAAAGTATGAAAATGCAATCATTAAGCACATTATAGATGAGCTTATTAATGAAGAATAAAACATTTATAACTGTGTTTATAAACTACATACCAATGAGTATTTATGTCAGAAACATGCTCTATAAATGATGAATTCAGTATTTATTTATGCTTAACTAATGCTTAATAGTGTGTACTTATTATAAAGTGTAGGCTGAAGAGGCTGTGTGACGGGTGGGTGGGGTCACCAGCGGTGCAGAGGGCTTTGAGGGTGAGGCAGGTACAGTATGTGTAGTGGGGCACCGACGATCTTCACTAACACATTGTGGATGGTAGCAAGGAAGATATTAGATGACAAAAATGCCAAAGGGCTTTCTCATTACAGAGTACACATCCTTGGCAGTTTGATAGAAGTGGCCATGCATTTCCACAGAAGGAATTGTGCAGTATCGGTTGCTTCTGAGAACTTCATTTTCCCTGCATATTTTGGGGGCATATCTAGTGCAGAACACACAGTTAATTGTATTATTTGTTTGGTTGTACCTGAGCCATGTAAATTCATTAAGCCATTCCGTTCTTAAAGGGAAATTTCGGTTTATTTCAACCCGTCTCCTATCGTCCTAAATTTGTTTCAAGTGACTAGTGACATAGAAATAATAGTTAGCATGTTAGCCGTTAGCCTAGATACAGCCGTAGCATCAGACCTGTTAAAACTTAATTGAACGGGCATCCTTTCAAGTGCAAAGTTAGTCCACTAAACAAGCTTTTTCTCCACAAAGACCGCCTCATATCGTTAGGATAAATGTCAGAGAACATATAGAAAATGACATGTAAACGTGTTGTCTTATCTTACCGGTGTGGTGCCATGTTTGTTGTTTACCATTTAGCTAAGGCTGCAACCGGTCCCATTCCTTGCAACAGAGGTATTCCTCTTATGTGGGCACGTAAGTGTAGATTGGGCTTTTTCTGTATGGTTTCTTCTGAGTCTGTATCGAGTTTTCCTCAGAAACTTTTTGCTGTGCAGGGCCTGGCTCTGACACAAGGGCGAAGAATGCGTCTTTAGTTTGTTTCACCATCCTTGAATATGACATTGGACGCGACTACACCCAGTGAACACCAAACGGGATTTTAGCTGGGATTTCTAGTTAAAAACCGGTTTATACTTGGTCTAAATGTCTAAGACCTCTTTTCAACCTCTTTTCAACTAGCTAAAATGCGGTTACATCGTCAATGTGTCAAAATTACAAATTTGTTTAATTATTTTGATCATTTTTTCAGTTGTAGGTCAAAAGAGAGACAATACTAATTAGTGTGTGAGGTATTTCTCCAAAGTCATATTGCACTGGTGGGTGACATGTGGTCTACTCAAAGACATAATTTCAATGTATTTAATGTTTCATATAAAATGTCGTAAATATGGAACTATATAGTCTGTGTGCTGTCACCGAGAAGATTTCAGGACATTTTTAGTGTCAGATCTGTACATTCTACTTCATTCATATAAAATCACAACCTGCGCTTACTGCTGAAATGGGTATGCGCAAGTACTTTGCTGTTACAGCTTATATTTCTTTTTTATACTTGTTTTATTTACAGGTTTCTACCATATCAAACTAATTTCTCCAACCAGAGGGACAAACCAGTGGGACCTTACATTGATTATGTATTTTTCTATTTCTATTGTAATTGTATTCAAAGAGCATTTCTTGGTTATATTGAAATTGTTACTTAATAAATACAAATGTATTGTCACATGTGTCACATGGTGTTCTTTATCTTTTAAGTGGAAGCTGTAAATGTGTGACTAAGTAAGTAACTTGTATGCTGCAATAGTTGTCATCCTAAAGCCAAAACCACATTTACAGTTCTATATTATAGTGAGCATTTTGAGGTTTAAAAGGCGTTCAGAATTGAACTATTTAAAGATGTTGATTGAATGGTTACATTTAGACCATATTTCACCTGGATTTATAATATTGCCTTTCAACTAAGAAACTTGGATGTGATTTTTTTAGTTAGGCTCCAAAATGAGGATAGACTTTTATTTGCACACTGTAGAGGATGAAAAATCGCACTATTGCAAATCCTGGTGAAATATGGTCTAATAGTAACCGTTCATTCAACATCTACAGATAATCAGTGAAAAAACTTTAACTTATGAGCCATTTCTGAACGTCTTTTTACTGATGACCATAGTCGTTTTTTAAATGTCTTTTCACCAGAAAAATGTTTACTGGGCAGCTAAAAACATTGATGTGTGTAGATGGCGTGATCCTCACAGTTAACTAATCACTCACTCCTTGACCCTCCCCCTCTCACCTACACTGGCAGACTCGCTTGTGGGTCGCACACAAGCAAGTAGTTGTAAAAAATATTCACACTCACACCAAAAATGGTCGCAAAATGCAAACATTTCGTCAAAGTCTCGAACCCTGTACATTATGGCAGAGGCTATTTAAATGAATACTAAACAACAGAGGCCCTAATACTGACTTTCAAGGCACCCCATTGGCAATTGTAAGAGGGGCTGATAACATGCCTGTAGTCTTGTAATCCTCTTGTGTTTTCTACCTTTTGTTCTCTTCTGACTGCAACTATTGATTATTTAAGTCAGATGTTATTTATCAAAATATATATACCATAATCTTTGTGGTGCAAATTTTCTTAAAACAATCGTTCAAGTACAGTTATTAACAGTTAATGTAATTAATAGTTAAGAACACCTGTAAAACTGAGCAATACATGCATAGTTATAAGTCCCAGTGACTCATGGAAAGCCTATTGTCCAATCACATTACTTGGTTGGAGCTACTGGTTGCCAGTCAGCTTCGCAAAATTTATGCTAATCTATGCATTTTGAATTATTTAAAAATATTGGCTATACTTTTTGTAATTAATATTGGATGAAGATGACATAATTCGACTTCAAGTCACTCATCAGGGAGAGGAAATTAGCTCACCAGTCTGTAAACCCTCTTTCTGCTGACTTCTAGCTAGCTAGCTGCTAGTTAGCCAGGTTGAGGTTTTCACATGTAAACATCAGTAAACATTGAGGAAGATGGTGAAGAAATGGGCACCAGCCGAACTAGAATCCTGCTAACCATTGTAAAGGCGTTGGAAAATAAACTGGATGACCTTCATCACTTTTCAGAGGGATATCAGGAACTATGATATCCTTTGATTCACCAAAACATGGCTAAATCCTGGAAAGCTCCATTTAGCTAGGTGACTGTTCTGATCTGACAGAGCAGAGGAGAGGAGGAGTATGTGTGTGTTTTACGGTGAATAAGGACTGGTGTGATGTGGGAATGCGAACTGCTGTCCCGTTCCTGCTATTGATCTCTGCACAACGGCTGCAGCGTAGCACTGCCATTTCAGGAAGAGTGACCATGTGGCTGTTTTGTTGAGGTCGGGATATTTGAACAGTTAAATCATTCAGCAACCAGAAACCATGAATTACCAGAACCATTCAGAATCATGGACAATTATGAAACAGCAGCCATCAATGTACAGTAAGAGGATGCAAAATAGGACTAAATCACAGTGCGTAAGTTCAAGGAGCTGATAAGATCACATTTCACTAGAGTTTACCTTGTATAATTTCAATGTGACAAATGATTGATTCATTGATTGATTGACTGATTGATTGATTGATTCATTCATTCATTCCTACATTTGCAATCTTTGAAATAACATAGGTCTCACTAATGCATTTAAAGGTTGTGGAGTACAAATAAAAGATGGTCAGGGAAAAGAGAGAAACACCCCAAGTTGAGATGCTGTAGGTCCTCTGTTTGCCCATATTCAGTTGTGGTGCTGGGTATGAATATTAGCCAGACATCTTATTTATCAGGGAAATGATAAGCGATAATGTAGCTGTTTTGTTGTTAAGGAGTTCTCTGCATTATAGCAGTGCTTAAAGAAACAGTGGCATGCTGTGTGCAGGTTATAGACACTATGGTACCAAATATCTTGCCTTCAATAACCAGTACCAATCACCGTTACTAGAGTACCCTGAGATATTACACAAGGTAATCAAGTTGTGTTTTTGTACAGAATGATACCGTAGCCATTACACAGAGGAGCGCTAACAGTGTGTAGTTTTTTTTTTCTTAAGATATTTTTTGGAGTATTTTTAGCCTTTAATGTATAGGACAGACAAGCGTGAAAGGGGGAGAGAGTGTGGGAGTGACATGCAGCAAAGGGCCACAGGCTGGAGTCGAACCTGGGTCGCTGTGGCAGCAGCCTTGTACATGGGGCGCCTGCTCTACCACTAATCCACCGATGCCCCAGTGTGTAGTTTTTAAAAACACAGTATCACTACCTGCCTCTTGTGTGTATGCGGTATGTGCACATTGTTAACGTGCTAATGTTTCATTTTGTTTGTGTAGAACGATGAGGCTGAGCTGGGCCCCCCCATTATCATGTGTACACGGTCCTACCCAGAATGCAGTGTGTATGGTGACGGTTGTGGTGCTGATAGGGAGTGTGACATGGACAGCATCACTGAAAATGCCAACAGTTCTGACTCTTTGGATCCAACACGGCAAGACAGGTCAGTGACAGCAATATCTGGGAATGGCCGCTTTTAGGGAACATTTAGTGACTATGAGTGAGTGTCAAGAGATACAGTACTTGGAGTCTCTGTCACTTGTTCTACTGCAAGAGAAGAGGCTACTTTAAAATTACTTTGATCTGAGTATGTGATTTTATTGTTTCTCCCTTTTTTCATAAATGAACCACCTTCCTGTTCTTCCTGCTGTGGTACCCTAGTCACCTGATTGGCTCAGCATCTGCATCTGTCATCTCCGGGGAGGAGCAGTTTGAGGACTATGGTGAGGGGGAGGATGTGGATTTTACTCCCAGCAGTCCTAGCCCTGAAGATGACGCCCGAACAAATGGCTTCTCAGACCTGGGATCATCCCTTCCCTCCAGGTTGGTGGTTGAGCCAGAAACACATACCCTGAATCACAAACTCTCATATCTTGAAGCATATTTTTAAGACGTAACAAGAGGGTTACTTTTTGTTTTTCTGGTACACCCTTTTCTTAGCAGACATTTTGATTTGTCTTTGTTCCATGCTCCATTCTAACTGTTGCATGTTTCAATAATGACCACTTTCACATTGGAAATTTGAGAAAATGAAGTATGCTCAAAAAGGTCCACTTGTATACCAAATGTTACATGATTTTTGAGTGAAGTGTTAATTGATACTGTTCTCCCAAAAGGCAATGCAATAAGAGAATTCAAGAGCTGCTCACAGTACCAAAGGATTTAAAGTCAAAGTCAAAGTCAGCTTTATTGTCAATTCTACAATATGTACAGGACATACAGAGGATCAAAATTGCTTTTCAGAGCAGGGAGAGTTAAGCGTCCTGACAGCTTGGTGGAAAAAGCTGTCTTTCAGTCTGCTGGTCCTGGCCCGGAGACTCTGCAGTCTCCCTGATGGCAGCAGGCTGAAGAGGCTGTGTGACGGGTGGGTGGGGTCACCAGCGATGCAGAGGGCTTTGCAGGTGAGGTGGGTACAGTATGTGTCCTGAAGGGAAGGGAGAGGGGCACCGACGATCTTCACTAACACATTGTGGATGGTAGCAAGGAAGATATTAGATGACAAAAATGCCAAAGGGCTTTCTCATTACAGAGTACACATCCTTGGCAGTTTGATAGAAGTGGCCATGCATTTCCACAACTGTTAAACTGTGTGCACGGCTTAGATATTGTTTCCTGCATGGAGTCTGTCACACTGGAAATGACATGTTGCAAAATGGTTACCACTTCCTGTATCCGTTTTATGACACTAGAGAGCACACACCAATTATACATCATGTTGCTGCATATCATGTGTAAACCACACCATGTAAATGTCGTGTAAATTAGGATCTTTATCACATAAGGCTGACTTCCTGTTGTCAGTAGGTGGTGCCATGACTCTGAGTCAATATGGGCATGTAGATCTCTTGCTAAAAAAATGTTGACAATGATTAATGACACCTCTGACAACATAGAAGCAAAGTAATTTACTGTATCAATTTGGAATATTTCTGAAAATTAAAGTGTCCCGTTTGTGTTCCTTGAAATAGCTACATTTCTAAATACCAGAGGTGGGGACCTAAACATTGGTAAACTTCAGAGCCAAGAGTTTGTGACTTTCTTTTACAAAACAGTATATTGCTCGTCCACATGAGTTCCGTTTTATTCTGTGCATTGAATTGCATTGTATTTATTTACAATGACAATAAAAGCAATTGAAGTGAACTGAACTGAATACACATTAAACTATTTACATTTTTACAACCTTAACAAAGTCGTAGATTCCAACTATTTACAGGTTTTTCACATCACCTCTCGAAAACCATGTCACCATGCAGAGGACTTAATATAACAGTACATACAATATTTATTTAACAGTCATAATCACAAAAGTAGCAACAGTATTATCAGTAATAAAGACTGTAGTAGTATGTGGGAGATAGAAAACACTGATATATAATGTGTAGATGCTGTTTGAAATGGAGAATCTGCAGCTGCAGTCTGTCCTTTAAAGATTGTGAGACGCACGCACACAGACACACACACACACACACACACACACACACACACACACACACACACACAGACAGGCCTGTTGTCATGGTGATTATTGAGATGCATGCAGCAGAGGGAGAGACAAGCTGTGAGACCAGGCAGATTAACATGGCTTTAAAATGTCTTTAACTCCTCCCTTTAATTCCCAAACCGTGGGTCCAATCATCAATCTGAATACCAGCAGAGAGATACACTCGTCCCGAATGCAGACATATAGTTTTTATGTTTGTGGAGTCAAAAATTTGATCTTGGTTGCAAGTTTAAGATGTGTTGCCCCTCACCTTTTTTCCAGAAATTTCTCCTCTCAATTTACATGTGAGTGAATGAGAAAAAAATCACTGCTCCCTTCGCTTGGGAGCTCACTTACCCAAATGTGTATGTGTGAGTAATCCATGGTGACACCAGTGCGACCAGGACAAGTTTTCCTACGTTTTTTGGTATAAATTGTGTATGCACAGTGAAAATTGTGGCCTTGGCAGCCAGTTAAAGACAAAAGTTTTAGACGATTTTAGACACCTCTCCACTCTAGCTCACAGCTGACAATTTCGCCACATTTGCTCATGGTACTTTCAGAGGTGTAGGATAGTTTAGCTCGAGTGTCAAGGAAGATGGTAGGTAGGCAGACTCAGCAGACTTCTTGGCTCCACCAAAGTGTACATTTATTTACAGTGCTCGCCATTACACGTGCAAATTAGGCAAAAACAAACAAAGCCCAAACAAAATGCCAAGCAAATAACTGAGGAAAATTAACTCATAATAAATCAAACAAAAGGGCAGGTGTTCACAGCAGCACGGCCTTTCCTCTCAGCCTTGAGCTCAAACCTCAACTGCCTTTATGAGGGACTGACTAACACTTAAGGCCCTGACACACCAAGCCGACGGCAAAAGAACTGGCGGCGACGAAGCCGACGAAGCCGACGAAGCCGACGAAGCCGACTGTTCCGTCGTCTACGTCGCCTCATGTCGCCCTGTGTCAGTACATTTGAACACACTGCACAGACGACATCCGACGGCCAACCGGCCAACTGCCAGTTCTGCGCATGCGTGAGAGGAAATAACTCGGGAAACCAGAAGTCCAACGAATGCATGAAATATAAACAAAGAAGCTAGCGGTTGCTTAGCATTTTCACGCCACTCTCGCTCGCCACAGACGGTTTCGTGTAGCTGATAAAATGTCTGATAAGTTACAAATGGCACTGGCATTGTCAGCCCTTGGTCTTTTGCTTGTGGAAGAAGAGAGGAAGACGCGGAGAGGAAAAATAAGGAGAAACCGCACGAAATGGGTGAAATCATGGATACTGCAGCGACAGGCTCAAGGGGCTTTCCCGAACCTGTGTCGAGAGCTGGAAACAAATGAAACCTCTGATTTTAAAAATTTCGCTCGGCTCTTTCCTGTCCAGTTTCACGCGTTGAAGGAACTTGTCAGTCCGATCATCCAGAGGCAGAACACTAACTACCGGGATTGTATCTCCGTTGGGGAGCGGCTGATGATTACACTGCGCTTCTTGGCAACAGGTATGCAAGCTAAAGGTGTCACAATATTAACAGTATATAGGCTATATATACAGTACAGGCCAAAAGTTTGGACACACCTTCTCATTCAATGCGTTTTCTTTATTTTCATGACTACTTACATTGTAGATTCTCACTGAAGGCATCAAAACTATGAATGAACACATGTGGAGTTATGTACTTAACAAAAAAAGGTGAAATAACTGAAAACATGTTTTATATTCTAGTTTCTTCAAAATAGCCACCCTTTGCTCTGATTACTGCTTTGCACACTCTTGGCATTCTCTCCATGAGCTTCAAGAGGTAGTCACCTGAAATGGTTTTCCAACAGTCTTGAAGGAGTTCCCAGAGGTGTTTAGCACTTGTTGGCCCCTTTGCCTTCACTCTGCGGTCCAGCTCACCCCAAACCATCTCGA